GCCAAAATCGCTTAGGCGGTTACAGCGCCAAATAAGAAGAAGAAGACATATCTTAATTCAACTTGGAATGACGCTCGTCCATCCTACATTTCTCTTTCGTCATAAGTCAAAATCGGAATAGTTTAGGTTCCGTTATTCAAGTTTTTCTTATACCAATCTGTGAAAAAAGTTTAAAAAAAACAATATCAAAAATCTCATTATTACGATTCCGTTGAAAATTTTTTTAAAACTTTTTATGCAAATTTTTTAAGCTTAAACCGTTTTGCCATTTGAGGGGTTTTTTTCAAAAAAATAAAATCTTTAAGAAACTATTTTTATTCATAAAAAACTCCATTTTTGGAGGTAGTGATGTTTAACCTGTAGTTAGTGTTAACCAGACATTGAGAAACTGGCCCTTAATGTTGTTAAATAAAGGAGAAAGGCCTACGGTTTTACGCCGACTCCGAATGGCGATTTTATTTTTATGAGAAGCTGGGTTTCATGACAGAAATACATTTGGAAATTTGCCATTGCCTGCCGACCGCTGGTAAGAAAATACCTTTTTTTATATTTTCTTTTTTTTGCGATGCTGCTTTGTCCAGGGCTTGAAACTACATCACAGTGTAAATTGTTATTTCTACGCACATCCTCTGCAATAAAGAACAGAAAACATGTGTTAAAATGTGACACAATAAAATTATAGTCCAGAGAAAAGTTTTCATTTAGTGCATCGCTAAACTTAGTTTACATATGAACTAGCCGAATATAAGTATGTATATGTATGAAATACACACCTTTACAGGTTAGAGTTATATTTTCATGCAACGATGAGTAGCAAGAAAAATGCGACCCTGTGCTAGCTGTTCCGTTATTAGCACTGCTCCATATTTCCCTCATTTCTTTCATTTCGCTCGCTGTATTTTTTTTATTATATTTGACACATTTTTTGTAGTTTCTTTGTCATTTAGGCTATGTATAAAAAATGCACCGCTGCACAGTGGGAGAGTTTCATACAAAAGTTGGCCATAAATAGTAATAATTGAGCTGGAAGCTTTAAATTTAGTATGTACACCCACTTCCCATGTAACGGAGATTTTCACTTCAAACTTCTTCTGCCGCTTCATTTCTTTTATCACTTCACTTCTAAACACCAAATTAAGACAGTAGCAAATAATTTGTATAGTACATAGGGGGAGTAAGAAATATAGAAATATGAAAGCTTAAGTTGTTCACTTCACTGTTCAAATTCTAGACGCCATAACAAGACAGAAGCAAACAATTTTTTTATGGAGAAGGGTAAGACACTACAAAAGCTTCGAAACTCATATTAAGAGAATTATCTAAGTTATATGATGCAATGCTTTATTTACAATATTTATCTTTAAGGGTTTAGATTGTGGTTAGATCCGCCTTTTTACGAGCCTGGATAATGCAGTTAGCATCTCTGAAGTAACAGTACAATGTGCAAAGTCTGTTTTGCCAGCAAACATTCCGGTAAATTTTCATAGCTTTCCCAACAAAAATGCGACATACCCTTGTAGTCAGCTGATTAAGCCAAGTGACATTTTGACTAGTTTTGGCTATTTTTCGTTTGTTTATTTACTGTTTATATTTTTTATAAAAGTCTAGCACATTACCTTACCAGCGCAACATAAATCCATTTTTCAAACTTCGTACAAAAATTATGAAAATTCAACTTTAATATTTGCACCCGAAAACTTTAAACTTTTTTTTTCACAAAAAATCAATAAACAAAACGTGCATGCGAATGATAAAATTGAGGTTGGCTATTCATAAAGCGTACGTGGGGCCATCGTACATTAAAAAATTACGGCAGACATGCATATATATACCTTTTTAAAGCTGAAAATTTCCAATTTTTCGGAGTTTGATAAAGTATAAGTGGGTTCAAGTTATATAAAAATTAAATTTAAAGTTAAGAAAAAAAAATAGTTTTCAACACTTGTTTATCAATATTTGAAAATTCATATAAATCCAAATGTGAATGGTGACAACAAGCGTATTAATTTTTATGAAATAAGAAATCAAGTCTTAAAAATTGGTATATAAATAAAGTATACATCTAATTTAATAACTAAATTATATAGAGCAGTTCGTAGCAGATTAAACGCTTTATAAATAAAATGGCATCGTTTTTGCTGAACTTTACCGCTTAACATAAGCAATTTCAAAATGAAATTTTTTTACTTTTTCTTACCCTGTCTGTCGATCGCTATAAAAAAATAGCTTTACTACTTCCTTATTTTTTTTTAATTCAGAGCCACAAGCTTCCACTGTGCGCTGGCAGGTTTTTCTCGCAAAGGTATTGTTACAATTTGGAACAATCGTTAAAAAACTTGCACGTGTTTTCTGATGATCACTTGTTTCTTATTGTCTATTCAAACTATAAAAGTCCATATGTGCTGTTGTATGACTATCAGTTGTTTTTCATTCCGAAACTCGAAATCATCAAAGCATCGAAACATGTGGCCCAGGAATTTCTTTGTGCTCCGTAAGTCCTTAAGTCGTGGTACATATATGATTTTCCTACTAACTTGTTGAATTCCAGTTTTTGGAGCTGTGCTATTGATCACTATAGCTATGACTCAAGCTCAGCCTGATGAGCCAGATGTGTCTGTTGTTGACCCAATACCGCCTACAGAGCCTACCCCGGAATCTACGAGACCTACACCGCGAACCAGGAGACCTACGCGCCCGACTAGGAGACCTACGCGCCCGACCAGGAGACCTACGCGCCCGACTAGGAGGCCTACGCGCCCGACTAGGCGGCCTACGCGTCCGTCTAGGAGACCTACACCCCAAACCTTGAGACCTATACTCACTCAAATAAATAACCTTCGCCTTGAACTAGAAGATGTACGCCAACAGCTAATAGTCCTACGTGTCCAACTAGGAGAGCTACTCTTATCACTAGCACCCCCTCCTATTAGGAGGAGACCAAGCGCATAAATTGAAAAACATGCCGCTAGTTGGAAGGAATATAAATAAAACTGTAATATTTGTACATGAGAATTTTTAGATTTTCAAGAATTCCTATAAAATATTGTTTTTCCTGTAATAAAATGACGTGGTTTCATGGGAAGCCTTCTTTGTTTTATTTAAATACAAATACAAACGTTTATCAGACCGATGATTTAATAGAAGATTTTTAATACAAACTAGGTATTTATTTTTAAAATTTCCTTATTTTCGTGGCTATTAAATCTAGAATGCTCTATCTCAACAAAAATGGGACATACCCTTGTGGTCAGCTGATTAGGTCAAGTGACATTTTGACTAGTTTTAGCTATTTTTCTTTTGTTTATTTAATGTTTATATTATTTTTAATAAAAGTCTAGCACGTTACCTAACTAGCGCCACATAAATCCACATTTCAAACTTCGTAAAAAAGTTATGAAAATTCAACAAACTTTAGCATTTGCACGCGAAAACTTGAAACTTTTTTTCAAAATTTTGAGAAAAATTTTTCGGTTTGCAGTTTTTAGCTCATTAAATTTTAGTAGGTTGAAGTGCAAATTTCAAGACGGTAAAAAATCGCTTTGATTTTTAATAATTTTTTTGGCTGACGGTGTTGTGCATTTCCCTCCGTATAAAATATGCGCGACAATTTCGTTTGTATGGGAGAAAATGCCTATTTAGCACCATCAGCAAAAAAAATAATTAAAAATTAACGCGATCTTCTAGCGTCTTGAAATTTGCACTTTAACCTACTAAAGTTCAATGAGCTGCAAAGCTGCTTACCCATAATTTAACAAAAAACTCTGAATAAAAAGTTTAAAATTTTTGGGTGCCAATGTGAAAGTTTGTTGAATTTTCATAATTTTTGTACGAAGTTTTAAATGTGGATTTATGTAGCGCTGGTTAGGTAAAATGCTAAAATTTATAAAAAAAAATAAACTTTAAATAAATAAAAGAGAAATAGCCAAAACTAGTCAGAATGTCACTTGACAATTGTCTCGAATTGAGACAATGCTAGTTCTAGCGTAGACTTCTATAAAATTTCTAACATGAATTGAATATGCTGTTTACTTAGCTAATCAGTCTGCAGTCAAATTCTCTTTAAGTATTTATTTTCGACTACAGAAATACACTGGTTACAATTAACATTGCATTAGATAATATGTTAGCGATTAAAAAACATAAATAACTGCTAAATATGCCAATCAAATGCTCCTTCCCTACAGCTATACAATGTATTCTATACGTTCATGTATAATAAATGCCCGCGCATATGTACCTTTCGTAAAAAATCAATAAATAAAACAAAACGTGCATGCGAATG